ATTTTAGTTTAGTGCTTGGTGAAAAATAGGGGTCTAGTTTTAATCTTTGGCAGGTTGAAATCCAGTTTTTCCAACACCATTTATTGAAGAGACTATCTTTCCTCCAGGTGAGCATGTTTATCTCCTTTGTCAAAGATGAGGTACCTGAGTATGTCTGGAGTTGTTTCTGTATCTTTTAATCTATTCCACTGATCTCTGGGTCTGTTTCTTTGCCAGTACCATGTTGTTTTTATCACAGTGGCTTTGTAGTATAGCTTCAAGTTGGGGATTGTGATACCCCCTGTCATGTTTCTGTTGCCTAGAATTGCTTTTGCTATTCTAGGTCTCTTCTGGTTCCAAATGAATTATTGGATTGTTTTCTTTAGTTCTGTGAAATATACTGTTGGGATTTCAGTTGGGATTGCACTGAATCTGTATAGCAGTTTTGGAAGTATGGCCATTTTCACTATGTTGATTCTTCCTACCCAGGAGCAAGGGATGTCTTTCCATTTTCTTATATCCTCTTCAAATTCTTTTTTTCAAAGTGCTGTAGTTTTCAGTGTAGAGGTCTTTTGTCTCCTTCATTCGATTGATTCCTAGATATTTAATTTTTTTTGGATGCTATTTTGAAAGAGATGTTTCCCTAATTTCTCTCTCAGTGAGTCTGCTATGGATGTACAAGAAGGCTATTGATTTTTGAGTATTGACCTTGTATCCAGCTACTCTACTGAATCTGTCAATTAAGTCTAAAAGTCAATTGGCAGAATTTTTGGAGTCTTCTACGTAGAGTATCATATTAACAAATAATGACAATTTAACTTCTTCCTTTCCTATCTTTATTCCTTTTATTTCTTTTTCTTGTCTAATTGCTGTGGCTAATGTTTCCAGAGCTATATTGAACAGGAGTGGTGATAATGGACCTCCTTGTCTGGTTCCTGATTTTAGCGTGAAGCATTTCAGTTTTTGACCATTTAGTATGATGTTGGCTGTTGGTTTTTCATAGATAGCCTTTATCAGTTTGAGATAAACACCATCTATTCCATTTTTTGTAGGGTTTTTATCATGAATCAGTGTTGGATTTTGTCAAATGCCTTTTCTGCATCTATTGAAATGATCATACAGTTTTTGTCCTTGACTCTGTTAATATAGTGTATTACATTTATTGATTTACATATGTTGAACCATCCTTGCATCCCTGGGATAAATCCACCTTGGTCAGGGTGTATGATCTTCTTGATGACCCTCTGTATTCTGTTTGCCAGTATCTTCTTGAGGATTTTTGCATCTTTATTCATTAGGGACATTGGCCTGTAGTTCTCTTTTGTGGTTGGCTCTTTGTCTGCTTTTGGAATCAAAGTAACACTTGCTTCCAGGAATGAATTTGGAAGTATTGCTTCCTTTTCAATTTCATTGAACAGTTTAAAGAGTAGTGGCAATAGATCTTCTTTAAATGTCTTGTATAATTCAGCAATGAAGCCATCAGGACATGTACTTTTCTTTGTTGGTAAAGTTTTAATTACATTTTCAATTTCCCTGATTGCAATTGGGGGTGTTTAGAATTTTTATATCTTCTTCATTCAACTTTGGTAATTCATATGTATCTAGGAATCTGTCCATTTCTTCTGTGTTTTCCATTTTATTAGAGTACAGGT